GAAGCCCTTCACCGGCATTCGTTGACGTCTCCGTATGAGTGAATTCTCGAGAGGGACGTTGAACAGTATACAGTCAACAATCATGCAAGCCAATCGATTAATCACATCGAAAAAAGACAGTTATTCCTGTCATCATGGCAATGCGAGTAGCATACGGCGGGTGTGACTAGTTGACAGTGGATGCCTACTCCTCAATGGTACCTGATCCAACGTCCAATGATTTCGAGGTCTGTGTTCTCTCTACTGCAATTTGTATTGTTTATTGGACTCTTGATGTTGAATTTTGTTCGATATAAAATCATTTGAACTAAGTGCAAAATTGTCATATCATTCACAATGAGAAGCGCACGGACCTTTTCAATGTCCGGAGTAAGGCATGGCTGCATCCTCTCACCTGTCATATTTATCATAGTCATTGACTGGATCATGCAGGAAACAACAAAGGGCAGTAAAAATGGAATCCAGTGGACCTCCACAAAACTGCTTGAGGACTTGGATTTTGCATTCTTCAAATAGCTAAAATACATGATATATGATAAAGATACAGTACATATGCATAATTGAATGCATGTGTTGCATATATAATCTATACTTTTGCAGAGAATAGCTTTTAATATGATTATTAGAACTGCGCAGCTACAGAATGCAGCAGAGCCTTAAAAAATCAAACAAAAAAAAATACAAAGTGTGCATTAATGTATTCTCTACAGCCATTTGTTTAGAAAATGTCTAAATTTTGCACTTTTAAATGGTAATTGCAAGTTCGAAACAAGGTACTCTTGTCTTCAAAATTAGTGTAAAGAACCACAAAAATAGTTCATGGATAGCAGCACGTGGTCTAATTCTAGCAAAGGATTTTTATTCCCAAACCTCTTCTTAAAATAGAAGTATATATCAATGGTAAAAAGTAGAAAAGAACTACCAAAATGCAAAATGTTTCAAATAATAATAAATACTTTAAAAAAGAGGAATAATGTTTTAGTTTGGCATAAAGCAATTAGCACATGTATTATTATTGAACAGTTGTTAAATAGTGTACGTAAGAGTTTGTAAGTCTGGAACAGATAACTTATTTTATCTACCAGAGTCTAAATATCACCAATGAAACACAAAAAAATTAGACACATAAAATCAATATGAAACACCCCCTACCCAAAAGGGGTGGATAGGACAGACCTTACACAAACCCTCAAACAACACCACTAAACAGGTTCTGGGTTGGAATCCACAGGGAAAGAGGAGGGCTGGGAGACCAATGCAAACCTGGAGGAGATCGATAGGAACAGAGGCAAAAGAAGCTGGATTTACCTGGACCCAACTAAAAGGATAGCCCCAAAACAGAGTCCGATGGTGCGGTATGGTTGTGGCCGTATGCTCCCCAAGGAGTGAACAAGTTATTGTCAAAATATTTCTACCAAATTTGGATAAAATATTACGTTAAATAAAAAAAAGATATGACAGAAGTACACAAACTTTCCAACCAATTCTCGTAGTTTTATAGTTTTATTAATTCCCTTATGTCAATGAATCAGATAAAGTTATTAATTGAGTTTAAATGTATGAGATTAACTTGAACGTAGTTGAAGTAGCTTATTTTTTTACATAGAAATATTAAAATACTTAAGGAATCACTGTCTAGTTTTGAGAGTATGCCAGGGCATCAACAATAGTGGGAAACATGGGATAATTTGCATTAAAAATTAAAATTATCCCATCGCAGCACTGTTAAGGCTTACTATGAGAAATCAACGGAAAATAGAAGTGCAAAAACGGGAATTGTTTTTAAAATGAATTTATTTTTATTCAGCTGTTCTATTATCACAGAACTTAAAAACTTATGGAAATAGCATAGTTTAACCTAGTCTGTACTGTATGGAGTTTGGTCCCATCGATGAACAGTCACGTGATGAATGCATAGTAGGTACACGAAATGTAGGTCAATAACAAATTTCAATATCGCAAGGGCATACCCTAGTTGAAATTAAAAATTCAAACTAGTAATTGTTTCTGCATACTTTGTACTTTCTGGAAATTGCTGCTGCTTTGAATAGAATTCGCGTTTTAATATTTATAATTTCAAGTAAATAGGCTAATGTCGAAATATGTTTGACTTTTACCAGATATTTTGTGTACTTCTGAAGTCATGCTCTCGATTTAAAGAAAGCAGCAGCACTTTTCAAGTTAAGGAACATATCCTTTATTTATATTTAAAAAATGGTCAAGATTTATTTAGTGTATGCCCTTGCGAAAAATCGATTTTATGAGGCACCTCGATGTAAAATATACCTAACCTGAACATTAAAACACGACAGAATTATTTAAATACATTCTCTCGATAGTTGATGAATAATCGCACTTAACAAAGGATATACATTGGTTTTATTAGCCTATTAAAAACCTGTAAATAATATTCTGTTTTACAATGTAACGCATTTTTCATTGTTAAAAAATTCCCAAATCTGCCTCTCACAGTACATGAAATACGTCATTTTTACCAAAATGACGTCATGATTGACAAGCTCATCGAGATCAGTGATTTGTTTAAAATCAGCTGTATAGGATTTAACTAGCGACTTTTTTTAATGCATTGGTAAGTCTTATTGTTGTTTATTATGCTAATACAGTTAAAAGTTGCAAATTATTTCATTTTCGGGTAATATGATGAATGCATAAAAGTCATATTTTTGTGTGACGTCACAGTAAACTTTTCCCGTATAAATTAGGCCCCGCCCCCTTTTTCTAGCCTTAACAGTGCTGCGATGTTTCCCACTATTGTTGATGTCCCTGGCATACTCTCAAAACTAGACAGTGATTCCTTATATTTCCATTTCATTGTGAAATAAAATTGTAGACTTAGACATTAAGAATGTAGACTAATCGATTTAAATTACACGAGGACTTCCATGCCAATTTCAATAGTCCTCGCACACTGACGTCAAACACAAAGGCAGCCGCACGTGATTTACATGCATATTTGGCATCCTTAGCGTCAGACAAAGAGACAGATGCGCACGAGATTTGCATGCGTATTAGGCCTTCTTAGCTGCTGACCTATCGACCTGCCTAATTAACATTCCATCAGAATTATCAGGAAATCAACTCCGCTTACTTTCAAAGGGTTATTATAGAGAAAAAATTTAGAAATGGAAATATTGTCATATAATGCGCATTCAAATAATTGTTTTACCAATATTAAACCAAATCTTCATTACTCACATAAATATTGACAGCAGTGAATGTGAGAAGTCTGGAGTATTGTTCACTATCAACAAGTATTTGGGAAGTCGTGTAAATTATGTGATTATTTCAAACTTCAACAATCTGAATCCGAATCATTTTTAAAAAATCAATAATATCAAAAGACATGAATTTTCTACACTGAAATCATTCACAGTCATATTTTTTAATCTCACTCATTTTCAATGAGAATAAGAGTCGTTTTACTAATCATATCATTGGACACTTTTAATATAATTTTCACATAATGAGTGTTGTTGTCAAATGAAACATAATTTCTTCTAGAGCCACTATATGGAAAGTAGAAATACATGTATCTTACCAAGTTCTTGACTTTTGACTCTTACGTGTACGAAGCGTAGATTTATCCATCTAAATTTGAAATTATTAATTGATTTTTATAATGTATATCTAGTCGGCAATATTTAAGACATATTTCTGGGGTGAAATGAAAGATAACTGAGGCTGATGCATATTTTCTATGCATATTTATTTTAAAACAAAAGATCCTAATGGTCACCTAACATCAACTAAAGGATTAGAGTGTTGACGTTTGGCATCATCTGATCATTATCATCTCCACTTACATACCTAGCAATATATATTTTTTTCTGTTTGCTTGATAATGACAATGAGCACATGACGGATGTGAACTGTTTTTTGCAGGATGATTAATTCTCCAAGGAATCTGATTCGACGTCTGATGTTTTCCGTCTATTTTCACTGCTTGATTGATTTTTGTGGTAATTCAATGGTATTTTTGGCTTGATTACTCAAGTTTTCTTCAAATTGCGTTTAATAGTTTTAATACTTTTGATACATGTTATACAATTAATTACCCCTTGTGAGGCCAACATGGTGAAATAAGGACCTGAGACCTTGCCAAGTCGATGACCTGCCCTGCCCGCGGCCTCGGTCAGGACAGGTCACATCGTGGGCCAGGTCTCGGTCCTTATTTCACCATGTTGAATTCACAAGGGGTAATTGATTGTTTTATTATACCGATATGTATTGAAAAGTATGAATCTCTAACCGTTATCAATTCTTTCTTTGATCGGGATCGGGATTCGCTACAGACCGGATAGTGAATTTGTTTATTTTGACGTCTGCAAGTTTCATGTGTTAGTTTTTGCATCATTATTTACTGATTAAAACAATATTTGGTTGATAGCGACATACATTGTTATAACTAACGATTACTTTTCCCCTACACAGTCAAAATATAACACAGAATTTAACTCGAAGAGCCGCTTCTATATTCTATTGAACTGAATTGTAACGATATATTGAAGCGATATATTGTAATGATAAAATTTTACTGTATTCTGTATGGTAATGCAAAACAGACAATGCACAATTTTAAAAACATGTTGTTTTTTTCGAATAATTATTATTTTATGCATTAACTTCACTCAAAAACGAATTTTTGATTATGCGGTCATTTTTAGCAGTCATTAAAAATAATGACCAGGTCATTATATCCGACGTGCAAAGATTCCTAGGTCAGTATTGCTGTAAACAGTACCATTTTGAGTCATTGTTGTGTTTTAAAGTTTTTTTTACCAGCCAATCAAATTCGAGTAATATTAGTAGAGGTATGATAAAATATATTGATTTCATTAAATGAAAAAAAATATTTGTCAGTATATTTTCTTTAATCAACAACTATTTGTAACAGAATAATAACATAATAACATTTTGTAAATAGCAGTAAAAACACATATAACAAAGTAAGCTAATAACAGAAGTCCTTTTCACTTTGTTCGACTCTCTTCGTGTTCTAATTATGGGGTTACTTTCTTATTTAGAATCTTTTAAATGGAATGTCACTTCTGAATCTGAAATAAAGTAGTGAAAAAATTCAACACTATTAATGAATATAATGCCTCGGCAATACTCTTAATATTCAAGTATTTTATACTTACAAAACCTTAGGCTGGATATCTGGTTTACGAACGTCAATGAAACTGGACAACCTATATGATACAGTTGACAATAAAAGTTTGCGCGAAAGTATCTGTAATCATTTTGCTTGATTTCAATTAATTTGGATACGAAACAAGAAAAAAAAATGTCTTACCATGCATGGTCGACATCTCTGTACTTTCGTCTTTTGGATAGGTAAATGACAATAGAAATAACCGTCAGATTTACAAAAAGAATACTACAAATGATGATGGCAAGCTTCCATTTGTTTATTCTGCAGTAATATTCGTTCACACGATATTCACAGTCAAAAATGACTAAGCAGGGATCTGGTGCACATTCATTTATATCTGTACGATGGAAAAATATAGATATAGATAATTTTTTTCCAATTTAACTTTTTTTGTTTTGATTTGGCATGCGAGGTTGCGTTTTTAACATTCATACCTATGTCACATATTTTCCCTGTATACCCCGCTCGACAAGAACAGGTGAAGTGGTTAATAAGATCGTTACAGGTACCCGAATTCAAACACGGGTTACTGGCACACTCATTGATATCTGGAAACAGAACAAAACATTTTAAATCTTTAAAAAATGATGTTATTCCCCACAAATCTTTAAAAGACATAAGACAAACAAACAGTGTTTGGAAAAAGTAAAAAGACTACCTATTTCACAGATAGAGCCGGTAAAACCCGGAACACATGAGCACCGGAACCGATTAATCTCATCAGTACATGATCCGTTGTTCTGACAAGG